TTTTGTAGCACTACGATCGAACATTATAAACGCGCAAAAATAAGATTTTCAAGTAACCGGTCAAGTTCAAAATTAACATTTTTCTAACATCTTTTGTTAGTACAAATTTTTCACAACTAATGAATGACTTCGAAAAATAAGATTTCTTCCAACATTGAAGTTAGCATCAATCGCCTATTTTATATGCAATCAAATCTTATTGAGTCTTCTACAAAAGCACATTATATAAAACAGAATTCAGTTTCCCTGCTAGACATTGAGAGAAAACCTTCATTGGACGTTGTAGTCGAAAAATCAACTTTTTAATAAAACTGTTTCCTTTGAAGCCTGTGGTTTTAGAACTCAAATGTTTTTGCATGATTAGAAAGCCCACATTGCATTGGTCAGACTCACATATAATGTGCCTCCAAGCATCTAAAGCCGAATGTAAAAAAAAATTAAACAAATGCACTTCTCATCTCTAATTTTGAGTTAAGTTGAAAGACACTTTTTCGGTCCAACTTATTCTTAAGGCTTTTTAGTCTTTGGTAAACATTTTGAATCAAATATTTTTACAGATTTTTGAAGTAGACACTTAGCTCTTTCTAGCAAGACAAAGATTAAGTCTCTATGAAGATTCGTTGCCATACTATACTGAAAAGAAAATTAATGCAAAACTTTTGCACCACCCGTTAATCTATTATTTATAGTATTATTTTGTACAACAATTGATTGATATGATCGATGTTTTATTATGACAAACTAATAATACTATTGTATACATTGACATCATTATTTTTAGTAGAATTTACACTATTTAAATATTTGATGTACTATGTGTCTAATGTACAAAATCTATTGGATAAAAAAATCAAAATTTCATCTATTTGTTCAAATTATGATCAAGATAAAAAAAAACAGAAGAGTTCGACAATATTTGAATATCAAAACTATTCATTTGCACAATAGAAATATTTGATTATTACTCAAATGTACAGCCTAATCGAAAAAATATTTATATGAATTGCACTGGATAACAAGTAAACAATATAACAAGATCAAGTAAAAAAAACACAAAAAGAGAGAAAATAACAGCTAGATCTATTGTATGAATTTGCTCTATTTCCTTGAACGATCACATGGCAATAAAATTCATATGATAGAATTGACTTATTTGTTGACATGAATTCAATATTTGCTAAGATTATGCTTAATAATCTTTGAAATTTCTTGTATTTTTAGTGCATTCAGATATAAATAGACCTATAATATTATTTACACGCACCGTCCCTATGGATAGAAAGACCAAAATAGTCAATTTGTCCTTGACTGCATCTTCCAACAGAATAGAGAAAGAAAAACAGTCTACTCCGTTCTTTATCTCTCCGCTATCACTCATAATATCATGACATTGCAGAAGAAACGAGAATAGAAGAATATGGCAATACCAGAATAATATCATTCAGTGAATGTGTGTTCTGAGCAAGAATCCATATATCACCCGGCCAAAGAACAGCGCAAACTGATCACATGAGCAAAATTAAATAACGAAGTTTAATTTGTAAGGCATGATCTTACAGGCTTGTCCCTCGCATGCCTCTTCTCTCTTATCAACACTGGTATATAAATACTGTCGATCTGCTTAGTTTTTCCTCAGAAAAAAAAAAATTGTCTATTATAAATTTGTTTTTTCAAACAAAATTAGTGAGTGTTTATTAATACTAAGAATCTCTATTATGAAAGCGGTAGATAAATATTAAAGTGTATTTATTTATTTCTATTAATACATATTTTTATTGATAGCCGAACTTTGCGTGTTTCTTTGACATAGATGGTGTGATTACGAAAGGTCCAAATTTCATTATAGTTGCTAAACCAACAATTCAAACATTGATTCAGCTCAATGTACCTGTTGTATTTGTTTCAAATACATGTATGCCTGAATCAGAAAAAGCTAAACAATTATCAGCTGTACTTGGAGTAAATGTGAGTTAATCTTTCTAATGTTTTTCATTCAAAATTTTTAAATATATATATATATATATATATATTTAACTACAGATTCATCCTGAACAAGTTGTTCTTGCTCAAACACCGTTACGTACATTAACTAATTTTCATAATAAACATGTTCTTGTTTCTGGACAAGATCAAGTTGAAGATATTGCTCGCATGTATATATTTTAATTTAATTTATTATTTCTAATGCTTATATTTATTTAATTCTTTTTCAAAAAAAAAATTAGGATCGGTTTTAAAAGTATAACAACAATTGAAAAAGTTTGTGAAGCATTTCCAGAATTGGATATGGTTAATCATATGAATCGGGTTAAATTAGTAAGTAATAAACAACAAATTCCTTTCTTTTTTTTGTTTGTTTATATTGATTATATATTTTAGACTGAAATGATGCGTACTCGAGGTCTTGTTCATGATGAGAATTTTCGTCCTATTGATGGTAGATATTCATTTTGTTTCTCTTATTAATGCTTTCATTTTTTGTCTTTTTTTTTCTTCAAGCTATCGTTTTACTTGGTGAACCCATTCAATGGGAAAGATCATTACAAGTTATTATTGATCTTCTTTTAACCGATGGTAATCCTGATGTTGTACCACCTGATTCAAAAATTAAACATGATCATATACCTATTATTGCTTGTAACAGAGATCTTGTATTTCAAGCTGCTGCAGATTTACCACGTTTTGGTCATGGTGCTTTTCTTACATGTTTAGAAACATTATATAAAGTAAATCATTCAAAAAAAAAATTCTATGAATTTTTATTTTTTCATTTCTATATAGAGTATAAGTGGAAATGATCTTAAATATACAGCATTTGTTGGTAAACCATTTGAAATTTCATATCAATATGCTGAAACAATAGCTAATAAAATAGCATTAGCTAATGGTCAACCAAAAATTGAAAAAATTTATTTTATTGGAGATAATCCAGATGTTGATATTGTTGGTGCAAATATGTATAATAAAATATTACAACAAGCAATCAATTTAAGAACAAGTATTAGTGGTTATAATTTATTATTAGATTCACCATTATTAAGTGCAACATCATGTGAATCAATTTTAGTATGTACAGGTGTTTATGAACCAAATAAAAAAAAACTTGATGATAAAAATCCATGGAGATTACCAACAAAAGTTAAACTTGATGTTTTGGAAGCTCTTAAATATATTCTTCTAAAGGAAACATGGCCATAGATTATCAATTATTAGATACATTATCATACATACATACATAAATAAATGAAAACCCATCATATTTTTTTTAATGTGTATAATATTGTGTCAGATGGTGTTTTTATCTGTTTGTCATTTATATTTTTTAATTAAAAATAATTTATTTGTATATGTATATCTAAATATATAAATAAAGATATTGATAGTTTTTTGAGTAGTTGTAAGAAAAATAATTATTTATGAATCTTTTGTCTACTATAAACATTGATAATTAATATGAAGATAAAAACAAATTTGGTTGTTGAGCTCAACAAGTTAGAATGCTATGATGATTTATTCAAATATTATAATATTTGTTTCACTTTTTTTTTGTGAAAATAATTATAGAAATTTTCGAAGATGAACTCTTAGAAGTATCATGATAGATTGCATATGTATTAGAATTAGAAATAATGCTAACAACTTTGCAATAATCAATCCTAATATCAAAGAATTAAGATTAATTTTTAATACTAATGTTCTAATCTGACGCCTGTAATTCAAATCAATAAAGTCACTTGAGTAATTTATTTTATTGGATTTTTTTTTTGCAAATTTTAATTCTGATAATACATAACTTTCTGTTTATTTATATCTACTAGATGAAAGCATACTTCATTGTTAATTATCATATTTATCTGTCGGTCATTCTACGATTGTCTATAAATAACTGAATGTCTAGGTTATCTCCTTCCAGTAACAGCTGTATACAATCAATGGCTTAATTTGTCTTCTCATGGCATTTTACATAAATAATATAATGAATATCACAAAAAGATCTATCAACATTAAAATAATAATTTATAAGTATGAATAAAATATTATTTATCTGTGTAAGTTATAAAGCAGCAAATAATTTCACTTATGTTCAGATATTCTTTTGTATCAAACATTCTATTATGTGGCATATCATGACAATAGAAGGTATCCCAAAAGTATCTTTCGAAATATGTGTTTTTTTTTTGCATATACCTTTATTTTACCAATTATTCTTTGTTTTTAACTGATCGATGAAGAAGGCACCGTGTTTTTATTTATATGAGAAAACTTCAAAACTATCGCTTCTAATTGAAATATAAAAACAAAATATGTAAAAAGATATTATGTAATCAGATTTTTTTTTTGATTGCTTCATTTTCTTACATGTTATTCAGATTCAATACATTCAATAAAACTTTCTGCTTAATGTTTAATGTCAACAAAATAACCTTAATATACTTCAAAGCTTTTTTTATCTGATTTTATAGAAAAAAAAAAGTGATTTTCTAGCAACATGCGCTATCAACATGTTGCTTAAAGGCAGTAGACAACTGTCTGATCGATAAAGTTTAATGATCGGCAGTTTAGTAAACATGAACCGATCTTATGAGCTTTAAAATTAGTAGACTTGATACTTTTGGATTTCTTTTTATTGGAATATCTTCGGTTAAAGATAATAGCTTTGAAGGATGACTCTGTAATTGCAATGTTTCAAACATTAACTATTACGATAATCATTTAATCTATATCATATTTAAGATTGTATACCAACATGCAAAACTTAATTTGAAATGAATATTTTATTTAGCAATCAATCAATATCAAACGATGGTATTCATTATAATGACTACGTAGTTAGCATATCCAGGATTCTATGAAAATAATTTTGAACAGTTTTAATAGTAGATAAAAATTATTATTCAAAACTTTTATTCCTGTGTGATATTCAGTTTGGTATACAACAAATCTCTTATCTAATGAATCAAATAACTAGACAAGTAAAGTTTTTATTTATAGAATCTTCAGATATTATAGATTTTGCATGATCATACAGTTTTGAAAAATACCACGTATTCGAATTTTCATTTAAAGAAGAAAAATTTAAGAAATCATTTTGAACGCTCTATACAAATCTATGAGAACTCAAGTAATTTAATTTGTATTAATAGAAACCAGTTTGTCACGATTGTATATACGTCTTCCATGTGTGAAAACATTAAATGAGCGTTATCTTTCTCTATACACAATCTTTCCTATTTGACATAGACAAATCATCAGTCTTTCTGTTTCTGTAAATAATACAACAATTCTCTCAGCTAAGTTAATCATATCTATTATCCTAATTACTCAACAAAAGAGCATATCAATATGTTGCAGGACGATGATTACAATCGCTGAAAAGATCAAAATTGATATTCCATATATTGTGATTTCATAGAATTTCAAGTCGTAAATAACTGTTAATTGATGTTTGCTTGTCACAGTATTACAAACATATTTTGGTAAGGGTTAAAAAACTAAATATTCAATCGTTTATAATCGTAACGGTGTGCTTAGCAAACGGCAAAATAAAACCATCTAAAATGATCGTGTTCTTTTCATTTGATTTAATTATTTTGTAGATCAAAGTTTTATTCTTGATCATTATAATAAAAGAACAATCAAATAATGAAGAAAATTGCATTTATTGAGCATATGATATACAAATAATATATTTTTCTTCTGTTGAATTATTTGAAATTTTTCTATGTGATCAAGAAATGTAAACCCAATAATTGGACATATTCAATTAATAAATATTTCTTCAGATAAATAAATTACATGAAATATTAGATTAAAATATTTTTAGAATCATCTCATACCTATATGATTTTATTTTCACAACTAAAGATAGATTCTTTGTTCTATAATCAATTTTTTAAAGAAAACCAAAAGGTCATAATTCAAACAAATATCTTTTTTTTGTTTTTTTTAGTATTTTCTTCTAGTTATACATCTTATGTTATACTTGCCTATGATTGTTCTACTAAAGCAATATTTATATCAAGATACCTTTGACATGATTTATTTTTCAAAATTTGAATTTTTCTGATACACATATTATGAGAAAGTACATGATCCAAAAAAAGTCTTAATTATGACAATAAGAAAATGATAAACAAACTATAAAACGAGGTTTATGTATATTATTATGATTTACAGAAAATATTTACTAATATTATTAGCTGTACCTCTAATAAGAATATGCCGAAGAAAATTTTTTATTGTCATAACGAGAGACTAAAAAATTGATGTTTAAAATCAAAAGTCAAAGAATAGTCATATAAAATAATAAAAATATATAGTCACATATGCATTACACTTGAGTGAATCTCACAGTAATTTATTTTATTTTATTATTACTTTTTTTATATCATTAAAGAATAAACAACAAAATGAAACGATACTTACCACGAAACAGAAATAAATTCTTGAACTTTTCTATCAAAATAAAGCAAAAGTTTGATCCTCTTTTTCGCTCGTCTATTTGAAGAAAGTGAAAAATAAATTAACTTACTTTTTAAAACACACGAACAAGCCATTAGCAAAAAAACGCCAGGTCGTTAATGATCATTAATTAATAAGAACAGTTTACATTCCAAAAAGTAATGGATTTTATATTTAAATAAAAAAGTAAAGTTATTTAGGTACCTGCTTATTAATAAATATAATATAGAAGATGCGTACCATGCCTGTACTCTTCTTGCTACTATTACAACTATTTATTTATATGAATTCCTAAATGAAAAACTTTCTTAAAAATTTTCTTTAACACATGTTGGAGTACATAAATAGATTCTGAACTTTTATGAAAAATATTTATTTATTCACTTGTCTGTAAATTGATATCGGAATCTATTTTAGCTAATAATTGCTTATTTTTCTTTGTTTAATAGCACAAGTTACAAGAATATTGGAATTTAAATGTTTTAAAATTTAATTTCAGATCAAAACTATGATGAATATGTCAAATAATATATTTCTGAAATTATAATAGACGATCCATGAGGATATCCAAATAAACTTCACACTTTTCAACCTCCTTCTAGACGTTCAACATAGAAAGAATCTACTCTTTCATATATGCTTGCAAAATACTGCATACAATAAACGTATAAGAAGATAAACTATATTCGCAATTACATATAATGAGAGAATCCTTGTTTTAACAAACTCTCGTATGCGCATGCAAGAAAGTTCTAGAATGATCAAAAACCAAAGCATGAGTACGTAGCATACTTGGAGCCAACTCAATTCTTTTCGAGCGAACTGCACCGCATGGTTGAAATTTTTGACGTAACAGATGAAAAACTGATGCATTTGATATATCAATTAACCAATCAATTCTTTCGAGAAATAGTCTATTACTTCAATTCTACAAAGACATACAATGTAAAGCTTCTATTGTCGGCTGAAAGGTAAGAGAGATAATTCCTTTGAAATACCTGTATGAAATTGCGTTGACATTTCTTAAAATGCAAGATACCTTTCCTCTTGAAAGAAACTATGAGCCTCCACTCTTACTCTTAAAACAATTGCATGTTTGAGATACTACAGTACTCTTTTCATGGCAAAAAAAAGAAGATCCCTCATTCCTCATCTTTTAGTAAGCATCATTCTCCAAAATATTTTTTGTACATCTTCCTATATTCTCTTCCTTTTTCTCAAATGATTGTTCACAAGCCAGATCTGGATGGTTAGTCGCATGTACATTTTTCTTCTCTGCTATCTTTGAATATTATCTAGTTAGACAATAACGTTAAGCTTCAGAGGACTCATGTCCCTTTCGTGACCCAAAAATTTGGTTTTTTTATGGTCATTGTATAGTCTGAAGCAGTATCTATCTACTGAGTACATTTTGGGATCGAAAAATTGTCCGTTAACGTTGAAAAAAATTGAAAATTAAAATTATGTAGAAGAAATATCATACACACTGGCAAAAGTATTTAGTTGAAAGTTTATTTCAAATTGAACATAAATTTGATTCATTTATTGTTGTCATTTATCTTCAAAGAAAATCGCTCAAATGATGTAATTTATTATGTGAATCTTTTATAAAGAAATAATTTTAAGTGATTCATTCAATACTCTTTCTTTATGATTTGAATCAAATATCGTTCAACTATTTCAAATATGATTCAATCTATATTTAATAAAAATATAGAAATAAGATAATATTAATCTTCAATGAATTTCGATGTTTATGATTTCGAACATCTTATAAACTTAGTTCGAGAACGAACAAAGTCTGATGGAAAAAAGTTTTAATAAATAAAAATTCATTTTTGTTCTGTGAAAAATATTTATTACTTGAAAACGAAAAAAAAATAATATCTATGATAATTGTACTTCTATGAGACAAGAATAAATAAGTGATGATGTTTCAGATAAAAAGTTGTGTTTTATTCATTTCAATAGCAAAAATATTCTAGAAAATTTTCTCGTATATTTTTATCGAGAATCATTTAATTTGATGAAGAATTATGTGATATAGTACTTATTTTAAATATATTGTCATCATAGGAGTATATTTTCAAACAAAAACAGAAATTAATCATATGTTTAGAAAGCATTTGAAACTTTCTCTCATCTTTAATATTTTGTTGTAGTTTGCATTTTTGTACTAGGAAGTATATTGAAGACACAGAATGCATCTCCATCAACAGATTTCCACCAACTTGATCATTGTCATCAAAATAATTTTTTAAAAAATTTTTTCATTGTAAATATATGTTTTTTGAAAGCAATTACATATTGTGATAACAATTGAAATTTTTTCGTATGTCATACGTTTATCTATTGTTTTACGTTGATTTGTTAAGTGTATCAATGCAATACAAGACAAATATATTTATATATAGGATGTTAGAGAATTTCAAGCTCTATCGAAATTTACAAATATTTAGCAAAAATTTTAAGTTCTATTACAATGTGTAATTGTCTTTTTTTGTTTTAAAATATTTCTACAGCAATTAAAAACTTGGAAAACTTATTTCAATAAAAATGGCAAAATTAACTCTGTAGAAATTCATGTGAATTCATTTGAGATTCTTTGTCAAATCTACAACAATTCAAAAGTGTAGATAAATTGATTATCGACACCTTTACCCACCCATACTATAAGGAGTAACTCTAGACTCACGCCCATATTCTTACTGTTTTGAATTTCAGAATAGTTCAATAAGATATCCTGTTTAAGCTATATGAATTGAAAAGCAGAAATGTTTTTTTTTCTTGACGAAATATTAAAAAAATTCTGTTGACAGTTTAATAACAGTTCGATCAACACGATAAAGCAGTCAATGTGAAGTATTTAGATTGTTCTCAATCTTTGAAATGTAAAAGTTGATGTTTTCATCTTCTTTTATTTGAGTAAAGATGAGCAAGTTGTCGATGAATATATGACGAGATAATGCTTTGATAAAATGAATTAGATACGATTGATTAGAATAGAGAATAATTTTTACTTTCAAAATATCTTTTCATTTCTATCATTGAATCAGAAGAAATCTCAGGAAGACTATAAAAACAAAAGGTTCTTAATAAAAATGACGAAAACCGGGAAGTTTCACCCTTATGTTTTATTCATAGAAAAGCTTTTCATATTCGAAGATCAATTTGTTTATTTTTAGTAATTGTAGAAGAAATGTCAATGATGAATAGTTTTTCTGCGAAAAAAAAAATTATTTCGATGTTAAAAATATATAATTTCACTTTCATCTTTAAAATATGAGTATGCACAAACGAATTTTCTACTTTTCTTGTCAATAGAAAACATAGTTCATGTATTCATTTTACTCAATTAGGATAAATATTCGAGAGAATATTGATTGAGGATGCAGAAGAAGACGACATCCATCACGTTCTATCTTTTCCTCGAAGGAAAAGAAAGCTTGATCTTCGAAAACTATGAGAAAAAGCTTTAAGTATTTGAGTCATAGTCGAAGTTTTTGATTCCGAATCATATAAGAACTGTTCTAATGTATATTCAATTCTATTGTATACAAACAAATTGATGTCGATTCATCTTCATTCAACCCATTTGCAGATTTTGTCGAATTCATTTTATCAATTATTATATTTTATTTGAATTCTTTGTCCAGAATTTTTTTTCTAATGATTGACATGGTTCTTCAACAGATAGCAAAGATTTGGCACACTGTTGTTAATTGATTTGAATATACGCTTTAGTTTATCATATTTTCTGCTTATCATATTGCAAAAATACTTTATCGAAATTGCATTGACTAGGAGCTTTTGCATTTCGGCCAATCAAATTTGAGTAGGATTTTTCTATATTCTTGTATAAGGAGAAGACGTTGCGTTACCTGGACTGATCATGCGACTAGCATGAGGTTTTCTTTTAAACAGCTCGGATAACACTATACTGAGTTCTTATTAGAGTAGAAAAAAAATCAAAATTCAATTATATTTGCTCAACACAATCATTTACACTTAATTTTAAATGAATAAAGTAGTAACTTGGAAAACTTCAACTTAATATAAAGTACTGAAATAATTTGTATACATTTAATAGTAATAAATTAATTAGTGGCTACTGATATTCTTTTATCAATCTTAACGATTAAGTAGTGAATCTTAAGTTAAGGTAAATGGTTAATCTCTGCAATAGATGATAATTTGACTTCCATAAATTTCATCATTTTTATACATTAATTTTTTACTTATCATTCGATGAATTGTTTGTTTTGATGCTTCGTACGAAAGATACGTATGAGAAATGACGAACTGTTTAAAAAAAAAAGCAGAATAACATCAAATGATACTCACGTTATTCGTCTTACGAAGTAGAAAGAAATAAAAGAGAAAAGAAAAAAAGCTTATTCATTTCGAATAAGGCGCACGTACCTCAAAATTCCCATATCATTTTTTTTTTGTTTCTTATGCACGATGGGATCGAACACATGAAGTTATGCAGAAAGTATCTTTTTAATTTTCATCAGTAGGTTTTACAAAACAAAAAAAAAGCTTTCAAAAGTCATGATTCTTAGATTTCATCAAAAATATGTTAATTTTCTTTTGTATAACCACGACTATAATAGTTTTTTCGTTTTGTGTAGATACTTCGAAGAAATGTTGTCATCATAGTTGCTAATGGAATCAACTTTTTCATTTTAAAAGCTTTTCCAAGTTTTCTAATGTAATTCTAAAAATTCTGCTTCTCCAAAAAATGTTAATTTTTGATTTGCTTTCTTACTGTGAAAGAAAATTTTTTTTTCATATCAACGACAAAAGAATAAGAGCTGTCTTCATGTACAGAAATGAAATTGAGTCGAAAAAACGTAGATTTCATTTCAAAGTCAAATAAAAAAGGCTATTAAAAACAGTTTTTTTTTAGAAAGGCAGAATGTTCAGAATCACATTAGAAAACTTGAAAAAGTTGATTCCTTTACGAAGAACTCTAATGACAACGTTTCTTCGAAGTCACTAGGATTCAAAATATTTTATAATTACTCAATATTTTAACAATATTAATAATTTTTTTTTTCTAATCAATTATATGTCGTGAAATGGAAAAGAAAATATTTATAAAATTGGAAAACATGAGGGTGTGGATGTGGATGAGTTTGGATAGAATAATTACTAATATTGACGCCAACACCTATACCCTTCTGCTTCTCCATACTTCTTTTTTCTGTGTTACCTGTTTCTTTCTCTATTCATCATTCTTCCTTTTTTTTCCTTCTATATAACACCATATAGAGTAAGAATTTTTTTCCTTTCTTCCAAACACAAATGTCTACTTAACCTTTTCAGGATCGGTTTATTTTGAGCAATGATAATAAGAAAAAAAAAGATGAATGTAAGGTCATTCATATAATCATATAGATAATGAGGAAAAATCCTTCTGATCGTATCTAAAGAAGATATAGGTCATAACTCGAACGTGTAAAAAAAGCAGCAGAATGTAGAGGCTAGGTGATGCTGAAGCCTCACCTAAATTATGAATTTGATACTTATTCGCATGACGGTTTAGCTTTATTCTATCAGACGAATATTATTTCAGAGCAAAGATTCAAACTTCTAATGTGTTTATTATAAATTGTGATTATAAACGACGAAACGAGTAGACTTGAAAAACTTGAGCCTCACATGAGTTTGAAACACTCTGCTGCCCTGAAGCAGTCGCAGCGTTTACTTCGAAGAGGTGCGAAAAAAAAATTCTAATTCTTACTTGTCCGATCACGTGAAATTTCAATAACGTTTTAAAACGTCACCGATACCGAAAGGGTTAAAACAAAAAAACCTATTCTCTTATATGAATTTCAATTCCATTCGCAGTAATGGATAAGATTGGAAAATGATTTCAGTTAATGAAGAACAAAAGCAATCCGTACATCTTTATACCTAGTTTTTCTCCTTACACTTCAGTTGAATACATTGATAAACTCAGCAATAGTTTTGAAAATAAAACAATACTCAATTATGCTTTTTCAACAAGCTATCATCAGACTTTACTAATAATAATGATAGACTATGAAAAATTCATCTTAAGAATATATTAGCAAAATCGTGAAATGTTTTAGGACTTTTGATTGAGTTGTGTGTTCTGGTTTTTATACTTTTTTCTTCCACCAGTCTAATAGAATAGAAAGGAAACAGTAAATAAAATTTTATAAGATAAATATTAAGCGAAATTTTTCTAATCGTTCGATAGGTGGTTCACGAAATTCTTGTAGAATTTCTAAAGCTGTTATAATAGTAGTATTTGAAATACCTTTTATATGATCTGAACCAACAATAATTCCAATTGCGATCATTGTCTCTCGATCTAAATCTGAATCGAAAATAAACAAAATTTTTCGTATTATTGTTCTTTCTTTTTTACCTAATTGATTTAAAATAATTATCGAATCATAATATTTAATAACTAATTGACTTTGACAAAAAAAAAATGTTCATATTATTGAATATTTCCTGTGATTGTTGAAGAAATATTCTTCATTAAGATCTTATTGAATTATTTTGTTTTAAAGAAAAAATCTTTTGTCTTTGTCTCATTTAGAATGAAGGGTAAAGACTTAGTGAAGGGATAACAACAATAAATTATTAGATAGAAATTCAAGATATGATGAAAATGTTCAAATTATAGATCTATGAAAGGCATTTGATAACATAGTGCTTGATCATGCATTCTAAGATCTCTTCTTATCTTTTTTGATGAGTTTTTCTGAAAGAGCTAAAAATTTGGATTGGTGCATAACTTTTCATGGGCTTTCGAATGGTATAATTCATTTCGAAATAAAAAAAATTTTTCGTATGCAACCGTTTATATATTTAGTCTGCTTTCCATGGACTCTCTCTTAATTATTATGATATTGTTATTTTTCCAGATCTCAAACCTATAAAACGTATTATTCATTGCACACCTGATTATAGAATCGCTGTAATCTTATACATGATTTCTATGCCTATCTGGTAACGGACCTCAGTAATGACCATTTACCGTAGAATTACAAAATGACAATCCATCAATTGGTATCTTATGAACGAAAAATCTACTATGTAGTTAACGGAGCGAATCATTATCATTAAAAAAACCGATGAGTAACCATGCACTTCTAACATTTCATATATATGAGATAACAAGGTAATTTTTTTGTTTACTCATCATAACAAAATTTCGAGATTCAAGCTTTATGTGCTCGTGTATGCAAATAGCAGTGCACATTTTCTTATCGTAACAATTTGAAATGCAAAGGAAAGCGAAAATAGAGGAAGAAAAATGAAAGAACAGAATAAATGCAATGTTGTGCACAAATGTATAAAAAAAAATCTGCTTTACTGATGAAAATGTCATGCTCCATTGATTCACACAAGCGCACATATGTTGGAAAGTAACAAATAATTTTGTGAGCGATAAATACGAAGCAAATCGTTGACGAGCATACAAAACAAAGTCCATACATTGCAGTATTATTAAGCACGTAAGTATATTTTATTTTCAACATTTATTATACCTAATTATTTATGAAAAAAAACCAATAATCCATAAAGATGATCATGGATATATCGATAGGAAGTCGAGCTCAAAGATGAATAAATACATTTTTACTAGTCGTCATTTTTGTTCGAGTGGGATTTCTGATACCGTTCATCTAGAAATCTTTGATCCTTCCGAACGTTCGGATGATTCGATCCGAATGAACGATGACCAATATGCACAGCTTTCTTGAGGGTGTGACAGTTTGCTGATTTTGACGAAAGTCGTTTCATATATAAGGCATCTTAATGTGGTTTACAGCCAACTAAAGTGATTGGAAAAATCTATGGAATTTTAATGATAAGGAGTGTGTTAGATTCGCCTGCTCTAGATCTATAATTCTACATAAACTCGAAATGTTTATTTTGTATCATTCAAAAGAAATACAGCCAACACTAATGGAGAAAAGCTAGAAACAACCGTTTTTTGATTATTTTTCGAAGTTATCTTTATTCGATGCCTATATCAACCATCACCCTCATCCTCCGACCTTCATATGAAAATTTTTCTAATAACTTTAAGTTCTTCGTTGCACTTCACTGTTTGCTCATGTGGACTTATTGAAAACCACTGATCAAGAATTCTTTCCATTGAAAGATTATTCAAAAAACAATCACTCGATTTTTATCTTGAAATGGGTATTAGTTAGGAAAAGTTTTATCAGATTGGACCTTTCACTTGACTGGTACAACATCAAGATGTTAGAAAACTGATTCGTTTTCTGTCAGACACAGCAAAGTCGGGAAATTAAAAAAGTATATTTCAAAACAATGTGAGTTGATTAACGATCCAAATTTTCGGTTTGCTACCAGCGACAAAAATGTTTGTCACCTCAGCGTTACCCGGGAGATGAGAAGCTGCAATCGTGATGATTCAAATGTGAAAGTTGTAACTCGATTGATCGACATAAGTGGGAGATATATTAATTAGAAAGATCAAATTGCAGCAAGCAGATACAAAAGTTACAAGACATTTTTGGCGACTTTTGAGCACTGAAAACTTGAGTCGTTAATCAACTCACAATTTTTTTTTTGGGACATGCATTGTTTAATCTTTAGACTTTGTCCTATTCGACGTGAAAGAGTCAGCCTTCTAACGCCTTGAACAAATTCATAATCAAGCCCGATCTTTGTGTCAAGACTCTTGCACCAGTCACTGTATATAAATTATATAAGATGTAGCTCACTAAATCGCAAACAACTTTTCTAATAAATACTGAAGAGTTAGACGCTGTGAAAATAGTATGAACCCAAACTACTCAATGAAATGTACAAAAAAATATTAACAAGTGTAGAAATAAACGTAAGAAATGTAGTGTTATCTATAGTATACGAGAAAAAGTTACTTATCGAGAAGAATGAGCATTTAATCTGTGTACAACATATTTATTTCGCTTCGATTACCATAACAATGTTATTGATAATGTATTTCTAGAGACGATCTAAAGTGACAAAAGTCTGGATTAGAAAACAAATCCACGAACTCCTAGAAGATTACTATGACTTAGCTACGATGACGCAAACTAAATTTAAATACTCACTCTTCTCGATAAGTAATGTTTTCTCGAATACTACTGATAATATTACAGTTCTTACGTTTTTTTCTACATTTTTAAATAATTTCTTTCCTTCCCTTTCTACAGAAAGATTATCCTATTGAGAAAAAAGCCTTAGGATAGGTTTCAGAAAAAAATATAAAGCATTTTATAACTGTAAAAGCTAGAAAGGACAGCTTTTCATCAGTTGTAAAGGAATCCCTGGACTGTATCCTACATAGTTTATATACAGTGGTGCTTCAAATTGGTCGTACATCTTGTACTTAAATAGATACATTCTTCTGAATAACAAGTCGTATTTCTACGTATATGTAAAAGAACTGTGATGAACTCTTCGAAAGATTGACGATGAAAATATTCTCAATCTGCAAGGATTTTCAATATATTATGATAGAGTATTCATTTACCTACGTAATGGTGGAAATCTCAGTCCACTAGCTCTTTTATGTTTTCGAGTTATTGCAAAAATATCTACGGTCGTTATTTTTTTTTGCTTTGGGCAGGGACTAGTGGTCTTTTTCACAACGAAAAATACTTGATCTTTGATTTTTAAGCATCAATATTTGTCTACAAAACAGGATGGCAACCGGTATTAGAGCGGACGTTGGTCCTATTGTGGGATACGCCAATGAGCCTTTATTACCACTTGAGAAAGCATGCGCTCCTCTGACGGAGATCATTCACAATATATCACACTATGTTCAAATGGCATTGAATGAAACTCCACAGCAGCCATCGGATGGTCTGACAGTCGATGAGAGCGCAGCAATTCGTCTCTACACAATCCAATGGGAAGAACCACATCAAAGTCTCCATTCGATGCTCAATGATGTTCTCAGGACGGACAATCGTGAAAATCTTCGACCCTATTTTAAATATTTAAAGCTGTTATTAACTGCTCTGTTCAAATTACCATGCCTTCCACCATCAACTATTTGGCGAGGAGTGAAGAAAAATTTGAGCGCAGAATATCTGTCCGGCACCGTAGTGACATGGTGGGCATTTTCAACGGGAACAACTGCCTTGACCGTGCTTGAGAACAATATGTATTTGGGCAGTAGTGGCGAGAGAACATTATTTTCCGTGGAAACCATTAATGGTCGATCAATAAGTGCCCATTCACATTATGATAATCAAGAGGAAGTTATGCTTCTGCCTGGTACTCGCATGACAGTTAAAATGCAAATGAATCCGTCACTCGATCTTTATAGCATACATTTGGTTCAGGTGATTCCAGATGAAATATTACTGGAACCACCATTCGAAGGTATCGTAAACACTTTGAGTCACTTAACGGATTTACCATAAATAATTATTCTCTTACTAGTTTTGAAATTTCTTCTCTATTATCTCCTTGATTAAAACACTTTTCTTAATCAAAAGATAGGCTCAGAATGTCACTTTCTTTAAAAGAAAGTGGTGTTGTCGTCCTTCTTCTGGATCTACATGATCCACTCATTTTGGCCATTCTATGACCACACGAACACAAAATAATATACCACTATAAGAACATCCATAATCAACGTTCTAGTATTCACATTTTACAGCTGTTGTATACCTTTATTTTTTGATCGTTGTCAAATATATTTAAAATAATTTTTCGATCGAGTCATATATAGTTGTGTGAAAAATTTCCAGCGCTATCTTTTGATTAAAAAAGTGTTCTAATCAAGGGGATAACAGGAGAAATTTCAAAATTATTAAGAGAATAATCATTTATGGTATATTCGGTATTTTAAAATGAATAATATTTCTCCACTTAGGTGCACGTCTGTTCCCCCACATAAAGAAACAACAAAAGCATCGTTTAGACGTCTCAAAATGTATCATGTTTTGACGCGGTTTTGGCAACTAATGACACTTCATAGTTTTAATACTTTCAATTATAAGTTCTTTTCACAATCAGCGAATATTTCATATAACTAATAAACCTATCTCTCAACTTGAAAATGTCTTATCATTGATTGTGTGACAACTGCCATTATAACCATCCTATTTTTAATGAGTAACACAGAGAAGCACCTGTTATCTAAAACCGAGAGATGTCGGAAAAGTTTCAGGCATAAATGTGAAAGCTTTTCGCTGTTATCACTTTTTCTATTGCCAAATTGTCTAAAAACTAATCGTGCAGCAAATTCTTTTATATTTTCTTGAAATCCATACTTCTGCGGTGACGTATTGATAGTATCAGATTTATGAACTGAGTATATATTGGAAAAGCATGTAGCTGAAGGCACTCACTTTTTCGACCAGAACCAAAAGTTCTATTGGACAAATTGAGTAGGTGGCAAAAACCGAAAATCAAAAATTCGAAAGGTATCATCTCAAAAAAAACAAATCTCCAAAATACTCTTTGTAGCTAATACTATCTCTGATGCTTATAAGAACGATTTCGTTGGTTTTGCTCTTCATTTTTCGATAATTGAGGGTAAGGATCACTAGAGAGATATTACTCTCATCCTCACCATCCAAACGTATGGCATTTCGTTTTGGTGATCAAGAAAGAAGAAAAAGTCTTTCAATAACAACCTGTCCATTTATGAAGTGATACTCAACGAGAGAAAAAAAAGAAAACGAACATCATTCAATAAAGAATAGAAACTTTGGCAACAATATTTGAAAAAGTTGAAATCGATCTGAAATAATACTTGGGACGTTTATCATTGCTGGTTTCTAAGGATATAGAGCAAAGAAATTATTTTGCCATTAACATGTTCTTCTTACTACTATTCTGTAGTCCATACTGTAGCAAGGAACTTTCTTTCCGTATGGTGATGATTAATTGTTGAAGACTCAATAGTTCTCTCTCGGAAGATACTCATCATTCTTTTCCTTCATTATAAATTCAATTCTGTTTTGATTTCTTACTTAAATAAAAATCAATAATTTATATCTTCCATTTTTCAGAAAATGGAAAAAGGTGTTAAATACTATTTGTTTATGATCGGACTATACGTAACATAAACCAATTCGATGATCATTTATGATCGTTCAATTGAAAAAAAAATACGAAAATATTTATTTATTGCTTCAATTACACAGATGATAATAATTAGAATTATTTCACACTAAACATAAGCAATAATTATTAAGATTCCTTAGTGAATAGTCATTTCAGGATCATCTTCAAATTATCTAATTCTAATGACATCTGTTCTCTAGTCATAATCATCGTTATATGAATCGTTTCGATTTATAGTTTAGGTGATAAATAAAAATCATAATTTCATTTTCTTCTTCTGAAAGTCCTTTTGCTTTTTTTCTTACTAACATCTTTCCTGTAAATTCTAGAGATTTTCGAAAGGATTTATTGTAGTCAATATTGCAAAAAATGAGAGATATAGTGAACATACTCAAATGATTTGTTACGTTTCAACGATTTTTAAGTCAACTATACTTCCACTTTTCTTATATTGACTACAATATATTTTCCAATGAAAACTTAAAAATTTCCAACAAACAAATTATTAAAAAACCTATGATACAATGCTGCAAATATGATAAAATAATTTATATGGATAGATCAATATAAGAGAGTTTTGTCCAAAAAAAACGAACCGTTTTTTATACCAAAAAAGAAGTATCTAGTGAAACATGATTCGAAACCATGTGTTCGCGTTTTAACTGAAAAAAAGACGTATTCAAGTACAAATCTTTGTAAATTCCTTTACTACATCAATGTTTAAATTATAATTTCGTAAGTAACTTGATTGTTTCACAAGATTCATTCCGAATATAATTAGCTAACATGTACTCAATCTCGTTCATGATTCATATTAATGAACTTAATTTCTTGATCCATAGACAACAAATAATAGAAGTTTTTATTGTTTCATTAATTCTACAGATTCATGCTGACAATTTTTAGCGAAAGATAATGTGTTGAACAATTCTATCACAGATAACGAAGATTATTCCATCATATCCAAAGCAAACAAACCAAAGGACAGTTTCATATCCGTTTCAAATCAACATGATAGGTTCCTGTTATTTGAAGTAAATGGGACTGAACTAAATCCAATGACACTGTACTGTTGAGACAAATTCATGGCATAAGTCTGAATGAACTACCATAATCTCAACCGATATCCAAAAATTCTCTTGAAAAAGTCTAAACATAATGGAACCAACGTTGGCTTTTAAACCGACGAGAACAGCTATCACAATTAGATCTTAGCTGGAAAAGACGAGCAGTGATAACTATTTTGTCATATGAAATCTTCATTATGATATTGTGATTTTGCATCTAAAAAAAGTAAAAATGAGAATAAAATTAACAATAACACGAGGTGATTTTTTGGCGTCTCATGAATCGAGAAGAATGTCTTTTATTATACTTTAATAATCATCTACAATATCGTATACCTGCAACGAATAATGACTGTAGCCATTTAGTATCATACAGATCGCTATTCAAAAAACAATCGATTTATCTCAATCATTGTTCGACTATTTTACATCGAACAAAAAAAGATTTTTTCATGAGTCTATATTAAAATCTAAAAAGCCTTTATTTCTAGAGTTTTTAGAAAAATGATGAGAACCTTGACATAGTAATCCGAATTATTCCAGTTAAGGTAATTCGAATTCTTCGAACAATTTCAGCCGAGGAGGACTTTGAAAACCTCTAGTATTTTTCGAGTAGATTTTCAAGCATTGTTCCTCAGATAAGAAAATGTTCGTGTCATGTTTCTTTATCTTCTCATGGGAAGCGAGGCAAACATGAACAAATTTGATCGATTTTCAATCGAAATAATGCAACATAAACAAAAAAGAACAGTTTTTTTCAACTCATCCTTCCTATCTTTAGATGAATATTTCATTTTTATGAAAAGTCTCGCAAAAAAAAAATAAAAATTATAAGATCTATTCTTAAGAAGTTAAATGAATATTAATCAAAGCACACTTGAGTTTAGTATCACTAGATTTCATATTGAATCAAATTTAACTTGAAATTTTCTTTCAAACTCGATGAAAAATAAACTACACTCTCATGATAAAAAAAAAGAATTTGAAACCATCTATCAACTCTCTGAAAATAGAAAATTCTGTTGTATAGATAAGAATAAAAAATACCAATCGTATAATCATTAATTTATGTAGTTCTGTAGTATATGTCTCTCTTTCATTAGTACATAGACTAACGGTACATATATTTTTTTAATGAATTTGGCTTTGACTATCTCAATGAAAGATATTATAATTCTGACTCATATATTCATTATATTATACGTATTTCTTACATCTTCTCCACAAAAAAGGATACTTGATCTTATGTTGGGCACATTTCTCGATGTTCAAACACTTACAATCAATATGTACTTTTTTTTAAACAGAATGAGTTGAATCGATTAGTTTGATGTAAATATAATTTTATAATAATTTAAGATTACAATATACGAGTAAATTATTTTGTTTGTGACACTTTTTCTAGTTTCCACTCATGAAAATGGAATCTATTTAAAAAAAAGCTCTGAATTTGGTTATATTTTTGTTTTTGATATATTTATAGTACATTTCTCATAGAAAATGAATAAATTAATAACAACTATGAAATATTAGGAGTGTACATTGAATGAATATTCTGCAACAAGTCAAAACAATTTCAATTCAACATTATACTGATAATCTTTAGTATGATGGTATTAAGAATGCTATAGGTTTTTTTTATTTTACAATAAAGCATGTACTTCAGACTATTTTTCACGGAGATATTTCTTTCTTTTTTTTGACTTTGTTATTATGTCTAACTATACAATCATTCGAGATCATATAAGTATTTGACATATGAAAAATCATTTTTATCAAATTCATGTCGAATTATTCTATAAATAGTTATTTTAAAATGAAAAGTATTATCGACAAAATTTTTATATGTCAGAAGAAACTAGTGCTAATCATTTTCAATTTTTTTTTCTTTCTGAAATCAAATCTATTTTTTATTCGTATATTTACAAATACTTAGTAGAAAATAGATTGATTTACATGAAAGAAATACTATTACATAATTACATTATCATCTAAGATAATATTTATAGAAATATCATAACATTTGTCGAGGGCGTGGGTGTGTGGGTGTGGGTGTGGGTGTGTGGGGTGTGGGTGTGAGTGTGTGGGGTGTGGGTGTGAGTGTGTGGGGTGTGGCTAGGGTGTTGGTGTGGGTGGGTGTGGGTGTGTGGGGGTGGATGTGGGTGAAGGTGTGGGGGTGGGTGTTTGAGTGTGGGTGTGGGTGTTCTTCTTTCAATCAAACTCACCCATACCCCACGCCCACACTCTCGTTATTCGTATTATCTATTCGTTGTAGTCGAGAATAAATGAAACGACTTTACGTGAATGGGGATGTTTAAATTTTATTCACTTTTTTGATGGAGAAAAACTAGGTCATTCAGTTTTACTACATTATAGTCGAGTCGAAAGTGTAATGACAAAGAACAGTTATAATCGATTTATAATTTTTTATTATTAACTGTTTATAGTTCTCCTATGAATTCTTAATGTTGAATATAATCATTTATTAAAAAATCTTTAGATTAAAGTAATTAGTTTCTATCAAAGATCCGCTAAAGCATATTACACATCTCGTAAATAAGGATTATTTGTTTATCTTTTATCATATTAAATTATATTTAGGATATTACATTTCATATTAGAATTAAATTTGACCATTAATTTAAAATAAAATATGTCACTAACAGCAATTGAATATAAACGTAGGGTAATAAACATGTTCAAAGAATGAATCATTATCAGCTGTTGATCCATACAATTAAACTTATTGAAACTACTTGTGAAGAAAATCCTACATTATATTTATTATATTCAAATCATTCAGCTGCT